TATATATATATATACACAAAACTATTACTAATGTCTCCATCCCATATTTACCGGTATATGATATAATGGGAGTACCGGCACTTATTTTTTTTTCCACTTAAAGCACTGTTGGAAAGTATTTTTGAAATGTTAAATAAATGCTCTTCTTGAAAGATGAAATCTTTTGACTTTGCAGAACTGATGTAGGTTTCTGCCCTGTCACACTGTAAGTATTTAACTTCTGCCCACTTCTGAACATGTTGTGAACAAATGACTCAAACAGGTTATATATTTAATTAGCAGGTGTGACAGGGCCTTAAGATTTGTTATATTATGTGATGGTTTGCCATAGCTAAGATCATGTCTTGTATTGTTTCTGAATCACTGTCAAAGTTCAGTAAAATTCATTTAACACTTCACATTTGAACCAAAAAAAAGCAGCATGGAGATAAACCTTTTGTGTGAAAACATATTTTAAGATTTGTGATATTTTAGCAGACTCCATCCATCCAACCCTTTACCTGCTCCCATCTTTCAGGGATTTTAACATATTTATTTTGAAAGTTCTGAATGACTTGATCACTTTGTGTTTCTTCTGTTGTGAAGCTGTACCTGAGCACTCGAAGAGGAGCGTGGATCCTTAACAGAGTGGGAGAGAAAGGKATACCTCTGGACCTGATTTTTAACCGGGTGCTGGAAATGCTCCAAAGATATCTTCCCTTTGGATTTCTCTGTTCACTGGGAGAGAACTGGCTCAACCAAAGATTTGACCATGCTCTGTACAATCTAAAGCCAAAGCACAGGTACTGTAATAAATCAGCTCTTTWTAAGTGATACCAGGTCATTTCACATCTTCCTAAAGGAGACTTCATGCTTTATATTTGTGCACATGTGACTGCGTAGAGCTGTGATCAGAAAGTGATACCATCTTATCATGGATGTTCTGTTAATCCAGGGTGTTTGGTTTAAATGAACCGTTCTTTCCCTGAATGATTCACAGCTCATAACTACGATGCATGATGTTTGTTATTCCATCTACTTTGTGTAATGCAGAAGTCCTGCAGCATGATTCCACCACCACCATGCTTCACAGTTGGTTCAGTGGTCTTTGCTTTGTAGCTCTCACCTCGGCTTACTTCTGGCTGAATGTCTCGCCCGTTTGTCTCGTCCTATCATAAAATGTTCCTCGAAGGCACTCAGTTTGTTCGTGGAGCTTTTGGAGCAGACGCTCTGTCGGTCCATGTTGATGTAAACTCTGGTGGTCCACCAGTTCTCAGCTCATGGTAGGCCTGAGCCTCCGTGACACATTTGAACCAGTGGTGGATGCTGGTCTTTCAACAAGAGGAAGCTCAGTTTCAGCCTACATAATAAAACTTGTCGGTTTATAAATTCTACCCTCCGTTCCTTTTCAAGAAAATGATCTGTGACCCTGTCACAGATCATTTTTTTAGTTTATGGTATTTATTCATTTCATTTTTAAAAACAAAACATTACATACAACAAAACAATAAAAAAATGAAAGGCAGCAGAAGAAGAAAAATATCTTATGATATCTTTTGCTATTTACAAAAAATATTAATTTCAAACAATAAACCAAATAATAAAACAAAACTAAAAAAATAAACTCCACAAACAGCGACTCATACAAATACAAATTAAACAATTTCATATTTCTTTAACATATTTGGTTTGATTTTTTTAAACAAATTAATTGATCCAATGC